TTTCGTCTGTGAAGACAACATGACGATGTCGAAGAGCACCGGTCAGCCGCTTCAGCTTCTTCACTTTTGCAAGTCGATTGTTCATCATGGCCTCCACTAAGTGATGACACTTTCGCAGCTTGTAAGGGTGACATCCAAGAACCTTCTTGCACAGAATTCTGGCCGATTCTCGCTTCAAACCGGTGATGCGGGCCAATTTCCGCATAGACTGCCTTGGTTTTCGCTGAATTCTTATTTTTAGCTTCCTCCGGTTTTCAGGAGTGTTGGCGGTTCGCGGCCTTCCACTTCTTGGACGGTCTCCTTCATCCCCCAACTCCTCGTAACGGTTAATGGCCCGGATCACGGTTCTTCTGCACGCACCAAGTGTCTTTGCGATATTGCTTGCACTCATTTTTGTCTCGTGCAAACGGATGATGGCAGTACGCGTTTTCTTATCCATTAAAAAATACAAAAGAGTGACCCTATGGAAATAAAACTTTTCACACACATAGACAATGATGTTAGGGAGCAAAACTGCATGAAAAGATTGCTAGAGCTTTTGTATTTATATATTTAAAAATATGGGACAAAAGTGGACAGGACTTTCTGGTCACCCTGTATATATATATATATATATAATCATTTCCAATGACACCAGGGGCGAGAATAAACGCGGAAACGTGGTGTGGAAACGGAATCTCCAAACGGCTTTCGCTGATTCATTCAGCCAGCATGCGATGGGAAATCGGTTGATTACGAATTGATTTTCGTCGTTGTCGATTCTTCGCTGAACTCGAACCGTGTCTCAGCGTTTCAAGCTTCCCTTTCTTCAGCCCCTGCATCTTGAGCAGGGGTGGGAACCTTTTTTTTTTTGGCCATGAGCCATATTAAGATTGGGCTAAGTGCTCGTGAGCGAAAGATTTCCAGAACATTTTCCCTGAAGTTGGCAACAGACATCAGCATTCTTTGACACATGAAAAAAAAGGAGAAACAACCATGATTTTTAGCTATGACGCAATGAGCCAAATTTGGCTCACGAGCCATAGATTCCCGACCGAAGATCTAGAGGAACGAAATCGGGCATGCTTCGCACCCTCTCAAACAGGAAATTTTGACATTTTGAAGCTCCAACTCTCCGGAGAACACCGAATCTCGCTTTTTCAATATATTAATTTCATTCCGGTCTTTTTTTTCTCTCCCTGGGTGTGTTTTCGGAGAAAGCATTCCAACCAAAAGATCTCGACTTGTAGATCACGAAAAGTGCCTCCTTTTTGTTATTTGCCATGCATCATCAGTCGCAATGAAAAATGAAAATAACTGTAGTTGATTTAGGCTTAGCGTACGGCCCCAGTCCCGTACGTCAGGGTTGCCAGATATCGCGCTGAAGTTTTGTCGGGTTCATGTCTGCTTCGGCCTTCATGGGATGTTCATAAAAGCTGAGTTCATGGAATGTTCATAAAACCTGAGTTCATGGAATGAGTGAGATTTAAACGGTGGTTAGCAATAGCCGATCTTTGTAGTAGATCTATGCATATGGAGATATCGTGCACGAACATCCCTGAATTATAAGATGGCGCCGAACTTGCATTTCAATCCCGGAGGCTTTCTCTCTCCTCAGACCGAGTCGGGATTCGAGAAACTCTAGATGGGCCTAACGTTACACGTCCTGACCGAGATGTCTCGAATGCCCCGAGACTGACCCTCATAGGCCAAATGGGTAAGTCAAAGGTTGAGATTCTTATGAACGAAAAAATTTAGGCCGAGGCCTGGTCTGACGACAGTCCGTTAGGCCAAGGCCTAACGTTAATGAGTCCCGTAGAGAGGGGGAGGGTTGAAGAATGGGGAAAAGCCATTGAAATATGGTTTTCACACAATGTAATTTATACATCTTCCATCGTTGCGTATTATCTACCTACTTGTCAAAGAAATACCACCCGTTTTGGAAAGGGAAACCCGATATCGATACGAATGGGAAACGAGAAACGATTTAATACCGAAGCATTCCTCGAGTCTCCCGTTGATGCGCTTGTTGTCCCTTGCTGTCTGATGGAGTCCTTCGAGGAACTCGTAGTTCTTCAAGACGTTGTAGAGAGACGTGGCTGGTTCAGGCTGTCCGCGCTTGTCCTCCCCTCGGCCCAGCCCCTCGGCCCATTCCAGGCCTAAGGAATGTCAGATGTCAAGTCCTCCGGTTTTTCTTTTTTTACGAGGGAGATTATAATTTCGTGATTGCTCAGACGTCACGCGAAATTAAATATGCAAAAAAAGGTACGCATTAAAGAAATGTATTTATAGACACGATAAAAGGCGGAAAGACACGGAATTGCAGGGCTTGGCAAGCGACCCCAGAGAACGACTGCGATAAAAGCCCGCGAAAATTTCCGGTTTGTCAAAGCCTATTGTAGTCCTGTCATGCCGCTTGGCACGTGCCAGTCAGCAGGCCTTCGCCCGAGAAGACGAGCCGGTGAAGCGAAAATCGACAAGCTGTCTCAAAGATCCTGAAATTTTCAGCCCACAAAACGAGAAGAGAAAAAAAAATCCACAATTGAATTTCCGATGACTCACAGAAGAAGGAAGCGAAGAGGAAAAATGTGAACTTTTTCATTTCTGTTCCGTTTTTCTCGCCTTACCGGATCTCGCGAGAAATGTCGATTGATAAAAAATAATCCGGTGGCCGGACAGAGCCCACTTATCACTTATTTATCGCTTATTTACCGCCTGCCGCCCTTCTCACGAACCCAGAAAAAAAAGTCGCATCTTTCCGCGCGCTTCTCTTGCGACACCTCAAAAAACAAAAATAAATCTGAACCCGGATGTCCAGTTCTTTCCTGCAAAGAAACAGTGTGCAAACTGCGTGCAAACTGTGCAAATTCTGCACCTGCACCGCATCTGTCCGATTCCCACATACCGACCTTCAATCCAGATCCGGGACAAACAAATTCTCATATATATTATATAATTCTCTCCACAAATGACATAGACGACACAAATGACACAAACGACAAAAACGACACAAACGACACCCCTCGCCCTCTTGAATCCTTCACAGACTGCACGGCGGCGAAGCGAGCTGCAGGAAGACATCCTCGTTTGACCTCATCACCGTCTCCGGCCCGCAATATCCGTACCTGGTCGATGACGTCATTAAGGGCATGCTAATCATCGATGACCTTGCTCTTTGATGAGTAAGATGCAATAAGTTATTTCGGTTCCTGAAGGTTTATCGCCATCGTCGACGAATTATTTACGTAATTCCTTTCGTACAACTTTTGATATTTTCCGTTCGTTGCAATCGAAACCTGAAAGGTTTTCTCGTTTGAAAATCGGATGCAGTAGAGCGAAAGGCACTTTAAAGGCCTGTCATCATGTCAAAACGCTGTCTGAAAGCTTTTACCTCTTATTATTTATCATTATATTATTACCGCTAAATTTATTTTAAAATTAATTTTGAGATGCGCATTGGAACGTACTCCTTGCCGTTGTCGAACCGAATTCTGACAGCGCTGAATCTCCACTCATCCGCGGAGAAAATGAAGATTCCCCTCCGAGCCTCGTAACGAAGGACGACGATGAGGGAGTCCGGGAGACCCGCCGCGCCAGTTGTCTCGGCGCCAGTCGCCCCGACGGTCGACAGGGTCGACCCCGACAAAATTCTCCCAGCTTCGAACGTTTTGTCCCTGGGAAAAGATCGCGATCGTGCATCGTATCAAGTATCGCGTCGAGTATCGTGTCGAGTATCGTGTCGAGTATCGTGTCGAGTATCGTGTCGAGTATCGTATCGAGTATCGCGTCGAGTATCGTGTCGAGTATCGTGTCGAGTATCGTGTCGCCACTCACTTGATGAGGTAAACGGATCCGTCGGACGGCAACCTGATGCTGATGCTTCCCAGCGTCTCCCCCTGACCCTCCGCCATCTTCATCCACACTTGGTATTGAATCCCTTAACATAAAAAATTCCAAGTTCGATAAATTAAAATTAACTAATTAAACTAATACTAATTAATACATAATATTTAATTATCAATTAAATAATTAATTACAAAATGAAACTGACCACAAAAGGCTTGCTGATGTCCCGTGGTGGCCAAAAACTGCCGACCCCTGGCCAACGAGGAGTCGGCTTCGTATCCCATCGTCCCGCAGCCGCCTTCGGAGCATTTCATGCAGTTTCCGGCTCGGAATTCCTGCTCGTTCGGGCAGGGGTAAGTCCGGAATTTGCAGGGGGAAGCGATGGATTCCAGGTAATATTCGACTGCGCGTTTGTGGTTGCAGCCGTCCAGAGTTTCTCCGATTTTTCCGGCTGAAATTTTTTTGCCGGGTTGGATGAGAATAAATTTAATTGAACATTTTAAATTATTTGTTATATATATATATAGGTGGGGAAAAAGCAGCGAGGTCGTCGACTGAGTTCGGTCGAGACAGAATCTTCTGCTTCGTTATTGAAAAGCCAGGGATGAGGGTACCCTCATCCCGAGAGCACCCTCGCCTTGAGGGTACTCTCACCCTGAGAATACCTTCACCTTGAGGGTACCCTCATCCTGATGGTACCCTCACACGTATAAGGAAAATCGGACTATTCACTGCTAATTTGCCAATTCCTTCGCTGCTAATTCCTTGTAAATTTGCGGAGAAAAAATCGGAGGAAAAACGAACCGAGTATATTCTGGACGGCCTTCCCGACGTCATTATTGCAACTGGGCTGAAATTCCCCTCCGTTCGGATAAAAGTCGACATGGCCCAGCGGATAGGGTGCACCGAGGCCACCCATGATCAAAGGTGCCCCGTTCGTGTGGATCACGTCCACGAATTCCGCGTCCGATGGATCCAGTCGCGTCTTGTCCCCGTTGAAATTGTCCCCAGTGAAGGCCAGGGCCGCCGGGTCCAAACCTGCAAAACATTTCGGATTGCGAATAATTTCTGCAAAAAAATCTTATTTCCCATAATTAAAAAAAAAATCGGAAATTGCTTTTTATGCTCGCAAATTTTTCCTGCAATTTTTTAAAGCTCTGTTTACCCTGGAACTTTCCTTCTGAATCGACGATTCCAAACCCACCCGAGATCCGCCCGAGTTTCTGGCCCCTCTCCTTGAAGAACTCCCCCAGATGCCCCGCGGTCATGGCCCCGAGGCTGAACCCGATCGCATGGACCCTTGCCGCCTCGGCGCGAGCGAAGAGGAGGAAATGCCCCAGCATCCGCCCGACCATCTCCGTGTTGGTCGCCGCCAGGAGATACAGCGGGCCCCGGGCCCCGTCTTTCCAGCCGGCGAGGATCACGTTCGCGTCTCCCTCCTGAAGAGTCCACGATTTCAATTTAAATGTTTTTCTGCCGCCTTCGTGGATTTTTCGAGAAGTTTTTAAATGAATAGGAGATATCTTGTTTAATTGTTTCAATGGAAAAAATGTTTGGTTTAATTGTTTCGCTGTCTGCTCATCATCGCTCGTTCGTGCGCTGCCTTCAAATTTCTATTATCTGCCGCTACTGTAAGCTAAGAATGCGGTATGAATTATTTATGGACTCCCGGCGTCTGTGTCTAGAGAGTTTCCGAGTTCGAAGGTTCTCCATCAATTACTCAATGAAAGCGAGTGGAAAACCGGCCGATTTACCCCGAGAAGGGCAGATACATCTAGCGCAATTCGGTCGTACCTTCGCCAAAATGGCGTCTTTCATGCGGACCATCCACTCGCGCTGTCCGTGTTCGCGCCAGCCGTGCACGATCACTTTGGTCGGGAGTTCGGGACGGAAATTGGATCTTCGGATGGACTCCTCGTCGTTCCAGACCAATTCCTGTTCCTGGACGGGATTTAAACGAGTGTAGAGAAAGAGCCTGAGGCCGACTTCGTGGGGGGGAACGGGCAGGAGTCCGAGGTGGGACATGGCGCCGCCTTCGATGGTGAAGCAGCCCACGATATCTGCGAGGGGGATTTATAGTTCTTATTACGAGGGAGATGAGGGTCGTAAAGGTTTGTTTGGATACGAGGCTATCGGGGAGACGAGGGGGTTATGGGTGTTTGGATGGAAATCGGGCGGAGACTCACCGTGGCACTCCTTCTCCTTGCCGGCGCTGGCGAGGTTCTGCTGGATCTGGTGGTCGAGGCCCTGGAGGGCCTGGATGTTGTCGAAGATGCTCAGGATGTCACCGCGGGTCAATTCTCGGTGCGTGCCGTTTAGGGAGTAGACGTGGTCGGCGTGGCGTGCGTGGGCGATTCGCCCCAGGAGGCCTGGCGTGCGTGAGAGAAGGCGATGAGGATCGGAATCAGGCAGATGAGATCGCCTTGCGTGAGGGAAACTGACCGAGAAGGAGGAAAAGCGAGAATCCCATTTTCCTGCGGGTGATGCTGATCGTCACGGACCGTCTCGATGGATGGGGGACGAGGTGCGAGCTTTTATCGTTCCGTCGTTGCATAACAGATTCATGCAAAACAGGGGTTATGCAATCGGGCGGCAAGGCTAAGGTCAACTGGGCGCCCTCATGAGTGGCACCATATCTCCATAAGCATTTCCTGCTTCCCGTCTCGAATTTCCATTTTTACCCCATTTCGAAAAAAAAATCTCGAAGAATCGAAGAATGGAATCGATGGACTCGACGCATCAAAATGCCACGCCTCGCCTGTGGGTGTCGCATCAAGGGTTTTTCTGCCGGTTCGGCAGAGAAGGAAATGAGACAAGGGAACCAGAGTGGAAGGGAATTTGGATTGCAAATCACCCTCTTTGAATTTCGTATGTCTGTGGGAGTTCAGGGGAACGAAAGAGGAAAATAAAAAAAAATTTGCCGACACATCGACACCTCCGGGAATATTCCATCTGCATCGAATTTCGAAGCCCCATCAGCAAGCCTCTTCATTTCCGGAGGGCCCGTTATCGTGCATTCGGGCTCGCCATGAGAAAAACTTGCTTCTATCGTGGTGTACTCATCGTGATGTACCCGGTAAAACCACAGAGAAATGAATTTCAGCGCATGAAAAGTTTCTAATGAGAAAACTATGCCTGTTCTTTAATAGAATTATGAGAAAACTTTTCATGCCTATCATCCTTGGGTTTCATCTCCCAACCCTTCCTTCCTTCTCCCTTCTTTCGTGTTTATTGTGATGCGGAATAAAAGCCAAACAGAATAGAAGAGACAAGCATTTCCACAGAAATATATTTCGACATACACGAAAAGAAACTTGACACAGGAATGCCCACACCGACTTCGAAGACCCTCCTCAGAATTTACCCGACAGAAACTCAGGCACCCCCCTACACGCTACACGACGGCGACGGCGCGACCTCCTCCGACAGCCGCGAGTCCGCCTGCACCGTCGTGTTCGTGAGGTCGTCGTAGAGGACCAGGTGCTGCGGCTCCTCCGGCGGGGCTTCGTATCGCTTCTGGTGGTACCGCGCTCCCAAGATGATAAGCACGATCAGCACGTAGAAGACCATCACCACCTGAAAAGACACCACGGTATAATCTATTGATATTTCCATCCTCGCTCCAGACGGAATCCGGAGCGTAGTGGGATTTGTCTCGTAATGGTACTTAAATCTCTCTGATCCTCTTTCCCTCTCTTGGGAATCTAATTCCATCTCATATTCCAGGATTCTCCGAGGCGCTGGAGTTGCATTCTAAGCTCTGAAGAGAAATATGTTTCCGACTGAGACTCGGGGCGCTCGGATCCAGCGCGAATTAAGCTATAATCCCTTCCAAAACGGAGTTCTTATCTCCTCGACGAACACAATCCCCTTTGACACGAATTATTATAAATTATATTATTATTAATTTATGAGTAACGACGAAAGAGACTGACGGCGACGTAGAGGAAGATGTCCTTCGACCCATCCAGCGGGTGGCTATGAGGTCCGTTGTAGTCCTTGGAATGGGCCATGCTCGCCTCGAACAAGGTCGGCAGAAGCGTCCCGTCGCATTTATCTCCTGGGATCCTGAAGGAAAAAAAAAATAAGGATCAGAAGTTGGCGGTTTCTACGGGGTGACAGATTGTATTCTCCTGCGAGCGGTTTGTAAGGAAACTTCTTGAATGACGTTCTCGTCTTTCCTTTTCCCTCTGGATTTCAAAGGGGCTTAGACACTTTCTTTCTTTTTTTGCTCCCCGACTTGAGAGAAACTTTAAAATGTTAACGACTGCTGGATCCCGGTTAAATCCCCGAAGCCCCACACTCCAGCCGAGCTGTCGTACATGATTGAGATTTATAACGACGACGGAGATACACTCCCGAAGCTCCTCCTTCCCCCCCCCCTCCAAGAGAAAAAAAAAAAGAAGAGACGCCGCGATGAACTCTTCCAACAATATCAGGAAGGAAATCGCGTTACACGGGGATCTATCCCCGATAGATGAGATTACGAAGAACGTGCTGGGGACAGGGAAATCGGATCTCCTCCTCTCTGTCGACGTGTCTCTTTGCCACGAATTCCTTCAGGCGAAAATCACCCCAAATTCCATCCTTCTCCGAGTCGAAACAGAGAAGATCCCCGATTTTCTTCCCATCCTCGCCTCAAAGAGACAAGAAGTCTTCTTTTCGCCATAGATCCTCTAAAGTGCCCCCTTCCTCCCCCCCCCCCTCCCCCCACCTTCCCCCCCTCCTTTCCCCCAGACTCAGAGGAGAAAAGGAGGATTTGGGAACCCCAGTCACGCAGGATTCCCCTCTATCTCCCCGATCCAAGGGATTTCATACCCAATTTCGAACGTGATGATTCCGCAGGACTTCCCGGACGCAGTTCCCGGAATTCCCTCCTCCCACTTCCATGTTTATCTGGAACTTCGCCCCGACTCTCCACGTCTCGAGTGCGCAAACACTCGATACTCGTAAACGTAAACACTTGTATCCCAGAGAGATTCTCGAGTGGGGAACATGAATTCCTCACTGCTTGGAGATGAAAATGTATTTTGGAAAGTTAAGGGGAGGTTCATTTACGTAGAACTCTTAGATGGAAAACATTAAGAATCCCATGGGACCCTCCCCCCCCCCCCCAAANCTCTCGAATCTCAAGAAGTCTCCTGCGTGTTTCCAGTAATGTCTCCCCTGAGCACCCCATGGGCCCCCCCCCCCCCCCCCCAAAAAAAAAAAAAAAAAATTATAAAGATAATAATAAATAACTAATTAACAAGGAACCTTTGAGCGGAAGGATTACCAATGAAAGCTTTTATGCCAGTGAAGATGCTTGTGCTAGAAGATAATAATTTCTTGCTGGGATTGTTATGCACTTTTTTTTAAATAAGGAAGTCATGTTTTCTTCGAGGGTACGAATTCGAAGTGCCTGGATGCAAAAATTTTTCAGAGTAAATTTATACACACAGTCGATAAGACGAACTCGAAGGAACAGACTTTAAAAATTTCGCTACAAGAAAAATTCTTCACAGGGAATTCCCCACATTTCGCTTGAAAAATAAAAAAGAAACCGAAAATATACAAAATAAACAAAATGTCATTGCACAAAAAAAGCAAAGAGTTGTCCATTCGTGAAAAAATGCAACGGCCTAGTCACAAAATGTATTTTTCATTAGAAACAAAGACCCAAATGGCTCCTTCGTGGACGATTCTTTGAGCCGTGGTCCTTTGAGCATGTTCGAAAATGTTTCAGGCTTGGCATTTGACGAGCCTGGAACATTCGATCGCTCGACGGAGTACAATTCCGGACTCAGATCCTCGAGATTTAGGAATGAGATGAGGGTGAAAAATGAGAAATGAGGTGATGCCGAGAGAAAGTTGTTGTAACGCTTGCAGCAGATTTGAACTTCGTTATAACGGAACAGTTTTCTTGCTTCGGACGAGAAAATGACTTCATAATACCTAAAAAGTATACAGAACTTCGTTACATAGAAACTTTTCAACGCGGATGTGACTGAGCAAACGGCCGGGAATAGAAAAAAAAATTCGTAATGACGAAAGTTCGTAATGAAGAAAATCGTTAATAACGAGCGTCGACTGTACATTGGCCCGAGGCATAAAAAAATTCATTTGAGTTACCCACCGGTTAATTGCGACTTTTCATCCAGGTACGACGAAAACAATTTTGTCACCACAGGAAACAACATGTTTACCAGTAACCTCGACCTTTCCCCGTGACCTTTCCCTCAGAAGCGGTCGGTCATCAGTTGCTTCTCTGGACCCAGGCTGAAATGAGGTCTAATGAAATCGTGCTTTGCCTATTTCTTCAGGCATTTCATCACAAATTTCAATGACTTTCGTTCGCCATATTTTGCGCATATATATATATTTTTAATGATAAATTGTGCATATTATCCATTCCGTGGTTCACATTTTCAGGATTTCCACGCATAAAAATTCCAGCCGTAATTACATTGAGTCTGCGAGAAAGTTCCTGGACGCCATTTTATTTTCATTGTGATTTTTTCTTCAGTTCTATGGAGAACGGCATCGGCTCTCAATCGTTAAAGCTGACTTTCAGGGATTCCTCGAGAAATCCCGTGGATTCACGAGAAAATAAAATTCGGAATCCGACCACTACGAGGGCTGTCCTTCAAATATAAAGATTTCATTTACCGCTGCCCCGCCTTAAACGTCAGCGTCCTGGCAAAACCTGGTATGATACAAATACTAAAAATACAAATAATAAAATACAATAAGATACAAATAATAAAAACGCGTCCTTCGTTTTCCCAGGTCGAAGCCCCTCCATCGCGGTTGCCCTTGGCTCCATTTCTGTGCCGAATCCGTGCCGAAAGCGAACCGAATCGGCTTGGTTTTCGGTTTGGGAAATTGCCAAGAATCCAGGGAATGAGCCAGATGTGGCAGGATTTCACCACAGCATCTTGCAGTACATGCAGGGGCGAGCTCGTATCTTCTTCGGGCCTTCCTCAGGCCTTTTTCGGGCCTTCCGTCTGTGCTCGGCACATTGGGCCCACAATAGCTCGCGACAATCACGGACGAGATTCGTTTCCTCCGTGTCCGTTACAGATGTCCAACGCCTGCCAATCTCGAATCACGCGCCGTCGCTCTATTTTTAGCGTCCATCGCGGCAGGTGTTCGCGACCGTGAAGACAAAAACTCGGAACAACACGCGTGACAAAAAATTCTCGCACGCGACGAATTCGAATGCAACAGCCGATAAGGAAAGTGCGATTCGGTGTTTACGGGCTTAACATTTAAAAGCTCTCACGATCGCTCCGACGTTTCGAGCTCGATGCGCGAAGGAAATGCGAAATGTTGAAACAGGTGACCGCATTCCCTCCGTTTCGGATCGATCCCCTTCGAGATGAATTTTTGATGGAAGAGCATATGGCCCTCGGAGATTTTGCGTCGAGTCCCCCGAGGCCCGTTCGAAGGGAAGGAGTTTCGCCCCGATCTCCGAGGTTCTGCCCCGGTTTGGGTGCTTCGGGGATCGATCGAGGAGAGTTATGCGGTCGTAAATTCACGCTTCCGGTTTTTCTCGATGCTCCTCGAGGGAAATCACTCGCGGGCGAATCCCCGACCGAAACGGAATTTACCCTCGGAATCGCGCAAAAATCGCGGGTCGATGGAACGAAAGGCCAAGGTAAAAAGGATTTGCGTGCCTCCCTCGCGTGCTTCGAGGCCGCCGCAGCGATCGATCCCGACAAAACACGGAAACCCGAGAGAAACACCGACGACGCCGAGCAAACCCACCCAACGCTTCCCGTCGCGCTCGATGAGTCCCTTCGCCGCTGAGAGGGCGAGAAAGGAATGACATCCCCAGAGGGACGCTTTCGGGCTTCCCCTTCCCCTGCTCTCCTTCCCCCGTCACCTTCCATTCTCTTTTCTCTTTTCATTTCTCTTTTTTGCCCATTTTTTTTCAAACTCCCTTCTTTTTTCTCGGGTGAGTACTCGACGGCCTTATTTTTTTGTGCTGTTTTGCTGCCCCCCAATTTCCCCTCTTTCGTTCTCTCTCGTTCCTTCCCATCCTTTCAGGTTAACTGCGGAGCTGGCCCCAAGCCGATGCGCACAATCAATTCGCCAGGGAAACTCCCGAATGAGCTTTTCTTCTTCTTTTATTTCTTGTTTCGAGTCTGGATCTGCGACGAGAAACGTCTTCGGCCTCGTTGGGGGTCGCAGGGAGACCACGGAACCGCAACGAGCTCTACCGTGACGTCACCGAGGTAAAAAAAAAAATCGTTTAGTTCTTCAGTTGGTCGGTGCTCGCCATCTGTTGGACGGATTCTTCGCAGATCCAGCCAAATTTCGAGTGAGCAGGCTCTCGAATGGCGGTGACATTCGGGTAGATTAAGGAAAAGACTCCATTCATCTGGGTGTTTTAGCAGGTCTGCGTTTCTGCCGAGGCTTCTGCACATCTTTTTGCTTAATTTGTATACGCACGTGTGGTTTCAATAGTTGAATAGTGCCTGTCATATACTTCCATGGAAATATTACAATATTCAGCTCATTATACATAGGGTGGGCAGAAAAGGAACACTTCCAAGGCCTCAAATAACTTTCTGGGCTCACCGAGGAGAGAACTTTTGCATCATCCATGTTGAGTAAGATTTCGTCAAAATCAAGTTTCAGGGTTAGGATTGGGACTCAAAGAAGCATTTCTGTCCAATCTTGGCAACCCAGTCAAGCCCTCACACCCCCTCCCTGACTGCCTCCCATCTAATACCGGCCAGCCCCTCGAAAGCCAAGGAGTTGTTTCGGCAGGAAGCCTGTCAATCCACTCCCTGGGTTATTACGGTCGAGTTTCTCCCTCCGATCGAACCTCCATCGAAAGCGATTCCCGGAAGAGCCAGCCGCCTCCCGTTCGTCACATGAGCTTCATCGAAGTTCACCTTCGATTGCCTCCCTGACTGCCTCCCTGACTACCTCCCTGACTGCCTCCCTCGTTATGCCTTCGCAATTACATCTGGGAACGTCGACTGCACTCCCCGTCATCAAAGCCCTTAATGACCCCCCGCGCCTGGATGAGATCCCCTCATTAACCTTCTCTCCGGCTGAATCCCGCTCGTGTGAATGCGGCCCCGTTTCCCTCATCATTTTAGCAGCTCGATTCCGAATCCCCTCCGGGTTCATTAAATCTCCCGCATCAGCAGACGTCTGAAATGCAATGCAATAAATTGGGACCTTACCGATGGCGCACGAGTTCCATTCGTCATTGCTACATTTTGCTGCCTTCGACTGCGCGAAGAATTGAAAGTATTGATGCATGCAGAGAATGGATTCTGGTAACAGGATCGCCAATTAAAATGCATTGAGTTGCACTTTCCAAAACTGTTGCTATGGTAACCGATCTCTTGATCAGTTAGAATACGATCATACAACTGTGGCAAAGCTATTATAAATACCTCAAAAATTAATAATTTCCCTCTGTTCCATTCTAACAGTTAACATAGACGTAGGTATTTTTTTCCCCCTGAAGTTAGTATAATTCTGTTCGCCTCAGTTTTCTGCACACGTCGGGGAAATCGTCAACCCAGGAATTCATTCAGCAATGCAGTTAAGAAAAATTTTAAATGATTTTTTTTTATGCTCACTGGAATTTTCGGTAAGAAGTTGCAAAGGGGTAATTTTAAAAGCGGTTATTTTTTTCCCCTTGGTCGCCCTTTCCAAGAAAGTCAGTAATTATCCGGATGCCGGATAGTGCACGGCATAAAGAGGCCCTTACGAGGATGAGAGACCGGCCATGAATAAGAGATGAGACTCCCACGGGAGGCGCTGCACTCATTCATTATCGAGTTTTCTCCGCGGGTCGCCTCCGTCTCGAGGGCGAGTGCATTTGGCGGGAAGAGAGGGAAACGCTCGGATGAGATGAGACACGTCTCTTTAATAAGTCCTTTGTCTCGAGGGTGTTTGCGGGGATGAGAGGAGCTTCCTGCATGCCGGATGCGCCGGATCATCCGGGGATAAGGGATGAGCTCCTTCGTTGCATCGCTGCCTTTCAATTATAGTAATGCCTGGGTCCCCCCACAGTCGCTTTTGACGATGGACGGATTCATGCCGACGACAAAGGGACTCTTGCGATCGAATGGGAAGGGAGCCCTCCCACCCACTGTTTGATCTGCCGTTCCATTATGGTTTTGTCGTCTGAAAGGGGCTGCAGGTCTGCTCGTCTAATTGCGAGACGGATCAGAGAGATTCCGGATAATGCCTGGATTTGTCAGACGAAAGCAAAAAAAGGGAGTGAAGAGTAAGGTGCCGAGGGGCCATCGCCTCGGTTAATCAGTCGATACTACCTAATGCTTCGTTAACGCCTCTCGCCCGCTGTGAAACTCGTCGAGCCGGTGAGTTTTGAATCTCTGAATTTTTAAAAAAATTTTATTAACCGCCCGAGATTGACAATCGCGCGACTTGGAGGGGATTTCGCTAAACCCGCGGGTCAGTCGAAATTTTCGTCCAGGCTGCCCCTCTCACCACCCTGTACAACATTTGGAGCATTTTTTTCATTGGCTTATCAGAAATGATGCTGTTCTTAAAGATACCGATCAGCACGTGAAAAAGTCTTTCAGCATCGAACGAGGAAGAACGACGCATTCGAAAGCTTCTCGACCTCAGCAATGCCGAAAAATATGGATTACATAATATATGGAAATTCGTTCCGAAGCATGCCGATGACGCAGATGGCGACGATCAGATCAGAGAAATTTGGAAATTGCCTCTCCGAAATGAGACGAGAGTGCAGTCGGTCGCAAAACGAATCTCTTCCTCTCCATTACATTCCGAGTGTAATGGAGAAGAACGTAACGTAACTGCCATTACAGCCACAACCACCACGTTCGACTCCCCGTCGGAAATCCCTCTTTGTCAAAGCCTCGGAATTGACTTCATTTCCTTCAAGCTCCCTTTGAGCGACTAATGACTGTTTCATTTATTTATCCTCAACGAAAGCAAAGAAGTCCATCCATCTAAATTCCGTCTCCCGTCGTCTCCAAATCCCCCTCGAATCCCGGGAGACCCGAAATCCGCAATTGAAATATTTCAAGGCGTCGAAGATGCAATCCCCGCCTCGAAGGAGATGACGAAATGCCGAACTGAGCATCGCCGGTTGGGCTTGACTGCGGTTTTTGCAAAATCATAACCGTTGCTTAACCGAAGAGGTTTACGACTCTTTTCTCATTTTTTTTTGGACGAGAAACTCGAGAGGGAAAAATCAGCTGTCTCAATTGCCGCTTGCATCGTGTCTGCTGTGACGTCGGAGATATTAAAAACGACCTCGCACGATTTCTTTCGCCCCTAGAAGATTCCCCCAAGATTCAAAGAGGGCTCAACGAGGTTCAACGAGGTTCAACGAGGTTCAACGAGGCATTCCCCATCGACCACCTGCTCCGTGATGCAAAACAGATTCCTCCTTGCATGCCCGCCCAATTCTCCAAATTCCGTATGCAAATCGCCACAACTGAGTCCCAGTTGGAATAGAAACTTCGTACTGCGTACCCTTCGACCCCGAAAATGGGAAGAAAATCCTGGAAAATGAAATGCTTCCGCAGTGCCAGCCGAGAAGAGCCGACTGCAGTTTAACCAGACGAAAAACTTTGACGAATGATCGACGCCTCGCGCTTCCTAGTTGGTCCCAGCTCCTAGCATCTCGCGCTTCCTAGTTGGTCCCAGCTTGGCAGGAACGAGATAAAATAAGGGGGCAGCTCACTGTTAATTTTAAAATCTCCTGTGGATATTAAGTGAGCTTCGGGTTTTTCTTTTCTCTCGGATGAAAAAGAGACTTTTCTGCCAAGTTTTAAGAATTTCACCCAGCGTTTCAAATTTTCAAAATTTTCAAAAGTTTTGAAGTATCGTCGCTTTGACGGGCTCGAACAAGGTCGATCGAAGACGGCAGCCTCTGATGAAATTGGTCTTCCAGAAAATTTTCTATCGTGTTTTCTTTGCGCAGCGAGTACTTCGCATGTATTAGATTAACAGGGTGCCATATATCGTTATATATATCAGTACAATTCCAAAAAAAATGGAATGGTGAAGCTTGTGCAGATTGCCTCTTCGCAGCAATTTTCCATACTTCAACGTCGAAAATAATGCACTCGACACACAAGGTTTAAAACTTCCCACATCGCCCCTCAGAAGCAGGTCCTTGTCCGTTCCCAGTTTCAACCGATTTTCGACGCATTTACCTTGCTTGATGCGACCGAAAGCGCCAAAACAAAAACATGCAAAACAGCAGAGATATTTAGCCTGCTAAATACTGTCGACGGACTCACTTGTATTTGGCGCAGAGTCGCTGCTTCAGCTCATGGATGCGCGTATTACCCGGCCCGAGCCCCATTTTCTTGCGATTTTGGCCTCTTCACTTTCACATGCTCGAAGAGAGAACTCCCCGAACGGGGCGAAGTCCGCGGTCGGAATGATCTCGGCCTCCACCTCGCCTGTTCTCCGGGAGAAGACTTCGCGAGTGACGTCACGGGTCCGACCTCTCCTGATTGGTCAATATGTTCCCTCGCGCGCGCCCAATGCTTCATGCAGGCCTACGTGCAGAGAAATAATGGAAAAAGTAAACCTGCTTTCGGCCTGTATTCCTTGCATGCGTCGTTGGGACCGCGATATTTCAGCGATGCAAATGGAATGCGACCGGAAATCGAGATGGGACGGATGGGGCCGGATGCGGCCGGATGGGACCGGATGGGACCGAGTCATTTTTCTCTCCACGATTTTTCTCCAGAATGAAATTCTGAAACTTCAAAGCGCCAAAGAAGAAATGGAAGACCACAGGAATGCATCAATACTAAGTCCGAGCCGAGGAAACGGGGTTATGAGACTGCGGCCTCGATATCGTTTCCCCCATTTCCGAGAAAAAAAGAGAGAGAGAAATCCATTCTTG